ACATGGGGCTCCATCCCTTGCTGGGCTATGGAGACAGTGTCAACATTGTACATCCGGACTTATAAAATAATAGTTTTTTATTCCCATTACAGGATTTGACCCCGATAATATTGCTGGTGTGTGCGGTGGCGCTCCGTTACTGGCTGGGTCACTGGTGGCGCTACTGTGCCCAACAAATCTTCCACAAGAGGGGAATGACACGACCAGGAAAGGTCACACGAGACACCCGCACCCGCCACAAGTAGTCTGTGAGTACGTCCCTGAAAATCATTACGTAGGCAGTGTGGTGTTTATCATATATATCCTCCATACACTTAATTTTTCTCTTATTTTCAGCTCTACGCGCCGAGTGCTGGGGTGCCCTCCGCTTCTAGCTCTCCACCCTGTGTGACGCACGTGGTGTGCCAGTGGAGGAGGCTACACGCTGCAAGTCAACGATCACTATAGAGCAACTTCGTCGGTGGTGGTGGTGGTGGTGTGGTGGGGACCGTACTACAGACTATATCTACAACAACTACTCTGAGAGCAGTGATGCAAATTCTCTCTCATCTCTCTCTGCTCTCTCTCTCGTCTCTCTCTCTCTCTTCTCCTCTGAGATCAGTGAGCAAATTCTCTCTCTCCTCCTCCTGGCATGTGGAATATATGTGTGGTGCATCGACTAGCTGCAGAAGTGGAAGCGTGAATAGGATGGGTAAAATGAAGGGTCACCAGCTTTTACTTATTGACAAACAAAGTTGACATAGGCTCTGTGGGAAAGGCAGCTGTCTCAGTTTCCCTGACAGTTGTGGATCTCGCTGACCGGGAGGTGGTGTGTTTGTGCCTCCCTCCAGCTCTGAGTCCACATGTCCTGCCTCTCTCTTGTGCTAGTGGGCTCGCTCACGCTTAAGCGAAGCCTGGGTCATAGTACACTGTGGCAGTCCTCACTCCATGCCACTGATGCCTCCATTCCCCATACATTACATCTCTTCCTATTGTGGTGCGTGTAAGAGAGAGAGAGAGAGAGAGTCAGGGGTTAATGTCGATAAACTCCCTCCTCTCTTGGAGTTTATCCACCTGGTAATGGCCACAGAGGGTGGCCCCTCCTATTTTTCATTAATATAATTCCCCCCGTTGGATAAATTTCCAAATGTCATGGAATAAGTACAAGGCATGGGATCCAAACGTAGGCCTTGTATTCCTTGCACTGCATATACAGACAGTGATAGCACCGTTTTATGTGTGACTCTGTCTTCTCCTCACTTCTCTGCTCACACCCAGCTGGTGGTGGAGGAGGAGAGAGACAATGGGGTAACAAGATGGCCCACAACTCTCGCGGGGACTCCCGCTACCATCCTTACCAGACTGGAGGAGGCGGAGCCAGCGGGGGAGGATATTACTAGAGGTGAGGGTCACATGACACTCCGTGTATGGGCACATGACTTATGCATGAGGATCACATGACTTTATGCACCCGGCATTCTGCACGCTGAGATGCCTTTCCATGCATGGGGCTTGATGAGTTAGGATCACATGACATGTTGCATGGGTCACATGATCTTTACCTACACTTTGTACGTCACTGAAAAACGTACTTCACACTAAACCTGTCAGTATTGGTGCTAAATTCTGACCAATCAAATGACACGAGTGAAGTCACATGATTAATGTAATGCTGGAACCTTAGGGGTTGGCTAATTGGTAACCACGGCAACCAGAAGCATGTCAATAAACAAATCTCTTGCTTTTGGTGATAAAATTGTTTAAACTTTGTGTCTCTCTCTCTCTGCAAATCCACAAAATCAAAATTTAGAGTTTGAGAAAATGGAACTCTTCAAAAATGGAAACTCTCCCAATTAATTAATGTGTAACTTTATCACAGAGTAAACGTACGAAAATAGTTCACAGACATTATTCATTTTGCCACCTATTCAAAAAACCCCTTTCTTGGTGAATATAAACTTTTTGTTCAACAAATCAAAAGGATTGTGCGTGTGTGAGAGAGAATGAGAGGAGATAATTTTGGGAAAGTGCTTTGAACAGAGAACTTAGGTGAGACATGAGGAAATAACGGGATTGAAGAAAGAGGGTTTTGTTGTTGAGGCCCGGATGCAGTTGGCATAAGACTTCAGAAACATTGAAAGAGACAGTTTTAAAGAGTGTGTGTTATTGCAGCAAGCTATTCGAGACACGAAAAGAGACCGTTTATCACATTCCACCAGTTTTGAAATGTTTAGTATAGTTTTGTGTAGACAACAGGTTCAAGTTTTGAATTATAGCATGGAGGACGGCAAGTGGAGTTGAGAGAGAAATGGGGAAACGAGAGAGCTGCGTACATTGAGAGCACGTTGGCTGGCACCCAATGCGCCTAGCATAATTTTTGAATAATAGGGGGGTGACCAGAAACTGGCATAATTCTGGGAATATGGGTCGAATTGCAATGTGTAGGCGTTCGCGCGATCTTATGACTGAGCTTCTGCCTTCAATGGTTTTCGTAAAGATGGAGAGCTTACTCTGATATCTTCGATATGCAAAAAAGGAGCGGAAAATGAGCGCATCACTCCCCGGGAAGGCTAGAGACGGCAAAACTGCGCAAACAAAAGTGCAGACTCGGCACTTTTCTTCGTTCTACACGCACCCCACGCACTACGCAAGGGTTTAGCGGATGCCAGCTCTAAGGGAATAATAGGGGGCAGCGAGGAGGAATAATAGGGAAGATTTACGAGGACGCGGATTGCATAAGCGAATATGGGTAAAAAAACAAGAAGCAAATGGGCTACACCCTTAAGAGCATGGGCAAACAAATGCTTGTGACCATCAGCAGCGCTACAACAGCAAACGCAAAATCGAGGAGGGATGGAAGAAAGAATTTTGCAGCATACCACCACTCAATATTTAATTCACCAGGTATGTGTTTATGAGTGTAGAAACAATTATAAGTATAGCTGTGGCATCAAGTGCATGCAGTAAAGCAATGGCCTGCATGTGCAAATAACAGTGTAAGTAGTAAAACTAAACGCATAAACGTATCTGTATGTAGCATGAAAATCGAGAAATGTAAACATGTTGATGCTACGTAGTTTCTGGTCCGTAGCTATAGTTATGCCCCAATGACTCCTCTCTCTCTCTCTCTCTCTCTATTCGTACTTCACCGTACACAGAGCTGCAGAGACAGACGCTAGTCCTAAAGAGAGCCTCAGGACGGAATACAGCTTTCTTTCTGTCAGCGCCAGAGGATCATGTGAAGTTTGCACGGTGTTCTTACAGAAACCAGTGGCACACCACAGTGACTGTTGTCATATGACATTTATGTTTCATCAACACTAATGATCCATGAAACCAGTGGCACACCACAGTGACTGTTGTCATATGACATTTATGTTTCATCAACACTAATGATCCATGAAACCAGTGGCACACCACAGTGACTGTTGTCATATGACATTTATGTTTCATCAACACTAATGATCCATGAAACCAGTGGCACACCACAGTGACTGTTGTCCTAATATGACATTTATGTTTCATCAACACTAATGATCCACGAATGTGTGAACCCAATTTTGATTTTTCTGTCACGTAAATTGCTGGCTTGTCTTGATGTGCTGAGTGTGCAGTTGCAGAGAATATGAAATACTGTGTTGGAGAATTTTCGGCTATACAGTGGGTCCCACTTAATATCATGAATATCCCGTTTATTATCATACAAACCTGAAATCCAAAACTATTTCCTATGCTTTCCCATACATTTTACTCCGTTTTATAGAATACGGATAATGTCATATCCCGCCTATTGAAAAATTTAGCAATTTTGGTTTTTGCCCGCATATTGTCATTATTGTGCATGCGTAATTAGGCATTCTACAACCTTGGGCTGGAGTTTTGCAACTCTCCATTCTTCACCTGGCTTCCATTAGCTTATGTAAACAGCTAGGCTAGCCTATCTTCATTAGCTTAGCTAAACAAACTGCATTGTGCGCTATCTAGTTCACAATATACACAGTATACACTCCCGGAGTATACACAGTATACGCAGTATACGCGCCCGCATTATAGAATATCCCGCATATTATCATATTTTTTTTGGATGCACCGCGGGTATGATATTAACCGGGACCCATTGTACTTCTATGCATTAGAGTTGATTTTCATGTGAACCATCGTGACAACTTCCTTACACCGCATTTTTGAGACTAGAGAGAATCTCTGCATGCTATATATGAGGGTGGTGAAAAATATTTGGTGGTATGTTCAAAGCTGTGGCACCATACGAAACAAATAGCAAGATGATAGCCTATAAAACAAAGTCACCTTGTGAATAGTACGTGGATTTTTATAGTCTTGACGTGGACAGAGAAGTTGTGAATAGAGAAAACCACCCAAAGTGCTTCCCCAGTAACAAACACCTTAATGAGATTAATAGTCACATGGCTACATAACTTCTCAGGCCTTCTCCCACTTGTACTCTTCATGAATATACACTCTTAGATCGTATTTCTGGGAATTACACTACTCATGACTCAGACACATGACTGGCATTTGAGTAGAAAGGATAGCTACATCATAATGTCATTGGTTCCTTGCATGAGAGAGACAGAGAGAGGGGGTGAGAAAATACCGGGGGTTTTTACAAGAAAGTACTTGGAGAATGGGCTGATGAGAATGGATAAGCTGTCAGAGTTATGAAAGAGAGAGAATTTACCTTGTTGTTATGAAAGACAGGTTGGTGATGGAGAGAGAAGGTGAAGCCAGACACTGTACGATGAGTTTCTTAGTCAGAAATTTGAGTGTCAATCTCCGGGCTCCACTTTTCCTGGCTATAGAGGGGAGGAATAATTATACTGATTAGTGAGGAGGCATCGAACCTTCTTGAACAACTTCAGTGGGGAGAAAACAAAGTATGAAGGGGTCATTTACATGAGATCTGGTTGGTTCGACTGAGGGTGACCAACCACTTCACTAGACTCTGAGAAACCACACAATGTCCCAGTTGATAGAAAAGTCCCAATGCATGTATAATAATTATAATTATGGTTTGCAACATTATTGTGACCCCCTCAAAACTTTATCTGTGCACAATCATGTGATGTTATTACACCTGACGCTAGTTAGACCGCAGTCACGCGCAATTGACCAATCAGATTACAGAATTGCGGGGGGTTTATTTTTCATAGACACCTCGTTTCAGGTGTCTATGGCGTTTGCAGGTGGTCTACAGCAATCTCCCCGTACAAAATGGCTATTCTCAAAAGTCGTTATCTGCGCAAACTGGCCGATTCCGCGTTCGGTATATGTAAGCGTAGAAGGCGCGACTGGCAAAGTAGCTCTTTTAAAATGCGTAGTGCACCTGCAAGAAGTCTGTGGACAGTCTCCGGAGCTCGCGAAAGTCAGAAATCACGTCAGTATTCCACGAAAAAGGCGTCGGCTTCTTCAGCTCTGGCGATACACAAACACATTGGGCCGTTGCCGTGCGTTGCTAAACCCTTTCAAACGCGCACCACCAATGAGGGCGTTTTATGATGACGTAAACGATTTTTGACGGGGGGCGGGGGCTGTCTCCTCGGAGTCTCACACGAAAGCGTCTTGTTCCATCCGAAGGTAAGGAATGAGGAATGAGCGCAGCGTTGCTAGCTTGTTGCTACCCATTTGAACGCGCAAACACCAATCAGATACTCCGGTCTAAACCGGTTAGACGCAGAAGCTCGGTTGTCTACGCAACATTGCAACCCTCGGGGCATGTGGGTAGCGCCCTCGCTGCGCTCGGGACGCCAACATTCCACAGCCCCTCGGGTTGCAATGTAGCGTAGACACCTCGCTTCCGCGTCTAACCTATATGTAGATGATAGCTAACTTGTGAATATTTGCCTCTAAACACGAAATGTGGCCGTACATCGACAAACAAGTTGTGAATAGAGAAAACCACCCAAATCGTTCCCTTGGTTACCAGACACCTTAACGAGAATTATGGTCACTCTGCATGCATTCTTCCCAGCCCTTCTCCCAAGTGTGCTCAACATGAAGAGAAACATAGACTTCTGGGAATTATATATATAGCTAACATTACACAAAAAAGAAAATCAAAGCACATAACACGTACTATAGAAGTTCTGGGAATTTCTCAATCATCATACACAACTATATCAGTTAACACAATAATAAAAGCACTCTGAGTATCATGTAGAGCGCTCAAATTTCTCATGGGCCAACATAAGTGTGGAGTGCAAGTCTAGTATGTGTCGGCTGTAAGATTTTACACACAGGACAATGCTGTGTGAATCATTGCCAAGTTGCACATCGCTTTGCACTATTCATTATTAGTGTAGAACTGCTGAATGATGGACCAAAACGTTTAGTCTATATAATTATTATGTGCAAAGCACTGTAGTAGACCTTGAGCCCTGCCTGCTTAGCTGCCCTGCAGTAGCCAGATCAGTGGTACAGCACAGTCTAGCTATAGAAAGCACAGTGATGTGGGTTCAAGTCCATCTGGGGCACCTTGATTCCTGCGGGTAGTTGTGTTGGATTCATGCAACTATACAGCGACCCCCGTGTGGACAGTGGGTCCGCCTTGATGTATTACATTGCTGAGCAATAGCCTCTGCCTTAAGGCTATAGCCGCCAAGCAGCGGTGGTAGCTTTGACTTGCACCCAAAGCATAGTTAGTCAAATGATAAAATCTCCTTGGTTACTATATACCCAGATTCAAAGCCCTTGCAACAAAAACATACACCTATAGTGAATAACATAACATGTATAAACAATCACAGTACACATATCTAGTTGGTTTTCTGGGCTTGAATATATAAACTTTGCATAATTTCTCTCATCGTAGGCGTGAATTCTTGATGACATTTTGGACATTTAGCTTTGAGAAGATGGCCTGAAAATTTTTCGATTGCAGACTTTTGATTGCATTTTGGACAAATGAAAGGCAATGCCATGATACTAGGAAATTTTTGTGCAAGTTCCGTGCACCTCTGGCTGTATTTCTCCTCATATGCTGCTTTCTCCTTAGGTGTTAGGTCCGTTTCAAACCAATAAACATCAAAAAATCTCATGTTACGTAGGACATGTTGATCTTCTATGCTGAAGAATCCTCCATTTGCGAATGCTTCACCCCAAGAGTTCATAAATGTCAAACTTGTTGGAGAACATCTCATCAAAACCACAGCATGGCGTTCTAGTTTGCCGCCATGACCATAATCATGTTTAACACTTTTGAGGATTCCTTTCGGGTGCATTTCGTAAAATTCCGAAAAGTTTGTCCACTCCTCTTCATACAAACCAAAAGTAGCGACAACTGGTCGCCTTTTATTAAGGGCCTGTCTTGCACCATTCTCATCTACTTCAGCAAAGTGGAGACGATACTCACCACTAACTTCTTTAAGGACCTGTTCTACATTGGCACCTTCCTTTCCAAATTTATGAATTATATGGTCTCGTATTTTAATAAAGTCTAGATCATCATCACCTTCTCGACCAACAATGCGATGCATGGCCAAGTAAAAAACTGCTGCAATTGCATTAGCATAGCATGTTGCTAGTTCTTGATGTTTTGGCTTAAATTGGGTGTTTTCTTGGTTTATTAATGTGGCAAGGTCCACCTTCCCAACCAAATCAACTAAAGCATCAGCAGACTTTGTCATTATTGAAATAACAGTTTCACAGAATTCATTAACTACATCCAAACTATTAGCTTGAAAAAACAAACAACTTTCGCCTGAGGATGGCAGTTCCCAACCCACATCAACTAGCTTTGATATTGGCGGTTGGGTGTTCTCTACAACAGAGCTCATTTCAAATAACACATTTCTACCATCTTCACTTCCCCTGAAGGGGAAATTTGTTTTATCATACAACCTTTTTGGGCTGCCGTGTACGCGACCAGAAGTAAGGAAGCATGTTGCTATTTGCACACCACAAGATTGAAGTGCTTTAGCATATGAACGTGGATCACCATCAGTGGATAATCCATCAGAGACAATAAACAAAACTTTATCATGACTTCCAAAACGGTGTCTTTGAAAAATAATCTGAGCATCATTTAGGGCCTTGCACATTGGTGTTCGTCCGAATATGTATGGTTCGATCGCCTCAATCACGCTCTGAATGCTTGCATGTAAAGATTGTTGTAGAGTGTGTTGAGAGCGTGTAGAATGGAGTAAATCATGGAACAATTTGGAAACATTTTCAGCCGATCGAGGAGTAATTGGTTCCATTAACATTCCATCTAGAGTGGTGAGTTTTTTCTTTACATATCTATATGCTTCTGACTGAGTTACTTCTGCATTTACCTTTTTAGCCATCTTTGTAGAAAAATGAGAACTTGGCCCAAATCCCATCGTTGCAAGATTAATCCACAAGTCTGCTTTTTCTGCCCTATTAGCCCACCTATCTCTGTCTGTTGGAGATGGAAATAGACTGCTCACCTCGTGTATTAATAATGGATTTCTGCGCATTAGTGCATAAAGTAGTTGTGCTTCATCAGAAGTTAGATTTTGTTCTATCTCATTAATCCATGGTTTGATCCGGCGACTGACTCCGTGCTGTTCAGCTAATAGATATAAAGCCTGGCGTCCATCACATTTTGGGTTGTTACGCAGAAGATCAAACAAAGAGAGAAGGTCGCAGCTTCCTGTGTCTGGGCAACTTAGTCCAAAAGCACAGGCGAACAATTCTTCACGCCGGTCACGGCGGACAACTTCCTGCTCCACAATTTTCATAATCGTAGTGAAAATAGCGTGAATGCGCTTCACCCTGGCATTCCGGCCTGATCGGTCTATATCATATGCACTCTCCATAGAGCCGGACACATCAAGAAGAACTCCATACAGGGTTCCGGCCATAATTAATTTTGTGTTGCCTCTTGCAAAGAAAGTGACCCTGCAAGTACAGATGCACCAAGCTATTTATAGCTGCGTGGAATGTGCGGCATGAGTGTGGCGCATCATGTGCTCTATGATTATGATACACATAGAGCACATGATGCGCCACACATGACTATGAATGCTGTCATCAGTGATGCAAGTTAGGGTTGTAATGAAGTGACAGCATTCATGATCAGGGTCAGCATTATCACCAAAGCAGTGCAAGGACCTGTGAATTGTTTCTTGGCATCATGAGTTTAACTAATGCACATTCTAAGAATTACCACTTAAATGCAGATTCATTGGGTGAGGACATAATTATTATATTCATGACCAAAGGGAAGCTTTGGCAATTCCGGGAATCTCAACAGATGTGAATTAACAACCTATGTTTAATGCCCAACTCATGCAATTTTCACAGTTTATACCTCAGTTTGTGCAGTTTGTGTTCGGCGTAGTCTGGAATAATTGATGAGCTGGCCATAATTCACTTCAAATTGCAACACAGTAGAATTCACAACATTGAGATTCTATCTTACATAAGCACAAAATAAAGAATTTCAAAAGTTGGAAGTGTCCATCATGGCCTCAGCGTGGGAGTCGATATCGGCCAGGAACTTGTCCATGTCAGCAACTCTGGCTCCACTCGTGCGGCGGTTCCTCCCCCTCCTCCCTCTCTCCCCCTCCCCCCCTGATGACTGAGACACCACCTGAGTTGCCGGTGGTGGGTGTGGCTTTGTGACAGCAGAGAGTGGTGGTGGGTGTGTCTTTGTGACAGCAGAGAGTGCTGGTGGGTGTGGCTTTGTGACAGCAGAGAGTGCTGGTGGGTGTGGCTGGTCAGTTGGGAGATTGTTTTCAACGAGAAATTCCTCAAACTCTGCTCTGTCTTCCTCTGGGATGAAAGATCTCATTCCTATGTCGAGATAGAAGGGGTTAAAATGAGAGAATGAAAGATCTCATTCCTATGTCGAGATAGAAGGGGTTAAAATGAGAGAATGAAAGATCTCATTCCTATGTCGAGATAGAAGGGGTTAAAATGAGACAATGAAAGATCTCATTCCTATGTCGAGATAGAAGGGGTTAAAATGAGACAATGCGTACAGTATTAGGTTGTCAGTATCTATTTCCCCATGACGCAAAATCTCACATTCGACCCTCCTACATTTTATGCATCTGCTAAGGCCCTTGAACACTAATCCTAAGTTTTTACTAAGATTTTTTGGAATCACGTGACTATGTATCATGTGACAGGGTGTGGCAAGTCATGTGACCTGGAATGAGGAAACTTCGCTGCGATCCATACAACCTCTTCAGGCGAGTCAGGAACTGGGTCACTGGGAGGTCGTCGCGGTATCGTTTCAGAAGAGACGCAAAGTCTCGAAGTTCCTTCAAATCCAGCAGCTTGTGGAGCTAGTGGGGAGGTTAAAAGAGAAACGGAGAGAGACAATGCATCATATTGTAAACACATTAAACCTAACCTTTGCACTACAGCAAAAACTTATTCCTCACTTTTGCTGAGACATGCACTTACTCGCTCCATATAATGCTGAACCAGCTCCTCTGCTGTGGCGCCATCTTCCTCCTCCTCCTCTTCTTCTTCTTCATTCTGTCCGTCTCCTGACAACTGCAACTGTCTCCTCGCATCACTCTTGACTCCTACCATACGAAAAGCATTGGAATATATCAGCAACGAATCATTCACACACCACGGACCATACACACCACATGTGTGCTAGAAACTGACTCCGTTAATTTTTTAATTTCATAGCCTGTAGATTTAAACTCCTCTGTGTCTATCTCTCTAAGTTCTCATTGCAGACTCGCCTCCTGAAGGTGTCTGTTGTGTTGCCGTGGCAGCCATCGATCCCCTCTCCCCTGCGGTGATCGAGTCGTTCAGTTGTCTGATGGTTGCCTCGGTGTAAACCAGCTGGAACACCTCTCTCAGGATCCCACACACCTCCTCCGCATCTGCCTACAGTGGGTGTAAATGGGATACCCAGCAAAACCTCTAAGAAAGGATTCTCCGAATAAAAGAACGTCTATATAAAACACTTCGTTCTGCCCCTTGCTAATACATTAGTGTATGGACACACAAAGCTAATTTATGGGACTGAACATGAAAATATATGTTTTAGAAGCATCGAAACGCTGAAAGTCTTACTGTGGAACACCTCTCTAAGGACACCCCTGAAATGAGGACGCCTCTCTAAGGACACCCCTGAAATGAGGACGCCTCTCTAAGGACACCCCTGAAATGAGGATGCCTCTCTAAGGATACCCCTGAAATGAGGACGCCTCTCTAAGGACACCCCTGAAATGAGGACGCCTCTCTAAGGACACCCCTGAAATGAGAACCCCTCTCTAAGGACACCCCTGAAATGAGAACCCCTCTCTAAGGACACCCCTGAAATGAGGACACCTTTCTTTTCTTTTCCCAGGAGTGCATTAAAACCCACATCTGACATAAGGACACCCCATTTCCCCCTGACCACTAGGGGGTCTGGATTAGGGGGACCTACCCTCCTGTTGACCATGACGACGTGAACGGGGCAGTGGGCGTGGTCACTGTCACCAGCTCTCAGGAACAGCAAGTGTTGGTCGTCGTCATTGACGTAGACACAGGAGGCCACCTCATGTATCGGTAGTCGATGAAGAACAGTCTATATATGGACAAAAATAGAGGATAAAGACTAATATTATGTAGGAAATTTAAACAGTGAAACCTCTGAATTCTGAATGCCTAATTTTTGTTCATCTTTATTATTTAAGTGCCCAACCTAATAGGGGCTGAACCAACTTTTTAAAAAGCCGAACACTGAACGGTATGTCTGGTTTGCTCACCCCTGTTCTGTCTTCTTTGATGATCTTTAAATTTAACGCCGATATCGTCACGGTAACCTCATCATCAAGCCCCAGTTTCCACGGCAACTTCCCCGAGTTCTAAACAGGGGGGAGGGGTAATGCAATCATAACCTCGTCTTTGTTTTTCTCTCGTCTCACTCGGCTGGAGTCGAGGATGTTGAGAAGGAAATTTCTGTCATTGAGATCCAGAGTGGTGGGAATGTTCTCCAGTACACCAATATACTGTGGCATAATATAGGTAAGGCAAAACAAAACAACAGTTGTAAAGTAACACTGTGCCATTTTATATAGGGACGTATCAGGAATTAAAGGCCCAGAGAACGTATAATGGAGAGTAGATATTAGCTCAGGCACAGACAAGCACAAAAGAAAGGATCTGGAGCAAGTGAGTGGAGTTGCATCTGGATGGCGCTCTAACCTTGCATCTCTTCTCGGCGAATCCCTCCAGCAGATAGTCGGGATTGGAGAGCAGGACCGACATCCTGGTGCCCGGCTCCGCTCGAGTCCGCGGCGACTTCGTTACCGGCGATACGGCTGCGTCCGACTGCAGAAACGCTAGCTAGCTAGCTGCACTCAACCAAGTCAGCCCCACCCCTTTAGCTAACGTAGCTCTCACTTGCTTGCGCGCATCTGTCTCGCTATTCCCCATGCATTTCACTGTATGTCTCATTTAGCAGCTATTACTGCATCTTACCCTCTGTTGTACCTTGCGATTCATGTCTATTCGATGCTGCAAAGTGGAGATAAACAGCGAGAGAGCTAGCTAGCTACGGTGCAACTGGCAGCCACGCCCAAATCGTCGTAATCTCCGTAACCTCCCGTATAACAACATGCGCAGGCACATCCGTAAACTAAATCCGAGGTTCAGAGGTCACGCGGTGTTTCCCCTTCCTCGTGTAGTAGGGCGGTGTATTCGAAGGCGACAAGACGAGATCGGAGCGGATGGCTTCGTCGTTTGCATCGGGGCTTCGCCTCTGGACTCCCGTTGGGCGGCGGATTATACCCCAGCGGTGCAGAGCTCTCGCCCAGGCCCCCGCGTGTTGCGGGAACCATCACCCATTTTGTTCTGGTCCCCCACTCTCCTTCTCCATCATCATCATCAGATGTACGCACTCCAGTGTCGCAGTCTCAAACTACAGGAAGCAGCTGGCGACGCAGGAGGGAGCGAATGAGTTCCTCTCCTCGCTGTCGGGGACACAGAGGTCAAACCTCGGCTCTGCTCTCGTCAGAGAGGAGGAGAGGGAGAATGGGAAGACAGGTGAGGAGGAGAGGGAGAATGGGAAGACAGGTGATGAGAGGAGGGAGGGGAAAGGCATGTTGGAAGAATGAGGTTAATGGTTTTGGCCAGCAAACAAATTCTCTGGTTCTCGATTCCAAAAATAGACTTCCACTGCCATGCCAATGTTCACATTACTCTACCATTAATGAGTTTATGATTTCGATAAAATAATATTTGTCTTTGATGGTATATACATGAGCCAATGTGTTACTCTACCATTAATGAGTTTGTGATTAATGAGTTTACGATTTGATGTTTCGATAATATTTGTCTTTTGATGGTACATGAAAGAGAGCCAAGAGATAGTAATACTTTTCTCACGTGCAGAAGTGGTGCCACCGTCATGGAAACAGTTGAGACTGCGTAAGCTACGACTCTCTCCGTACCATTACATCATCACGAGATCATCTTTATTCGTTCTTCCACAGTCTGTTACCAGAACATGCTGCCTTTCATAGGATTTGGTTTCCTTGACAACTTCATCATGATCACTGTGGTAAGCCACACAGAAATATTGTGAATGCAGCATTTTAAGGAAATTTGCTAATATACGGTCCTTGTTGTGACGATGCAAACATAATGACATCACCGTTAATTCAACGATGTCACGTGACCATTATGCAGGCGGACCGTATCCAGGAGACGATGGGAGTGATGTTTCTGTCTCACGACAATGGCGGCTGCAGGGATGGGGAACATGGTGTCCGATCTTGCAGGTGCATCATTACCTCACACACAGGACTGGGTCCATACTACATATTAATCATGATGTCATCATTACCTCACACACAGGACTGGGTCTTGCTGACAGAGTGGATGCTCTGTGCAGGTCTCTGGGAATACCTGACCCCCAGCTGACCTCTCCCCAGCTCTCTCTCGCCTCCAGCAGATGGATGTCCCTTCTGGTGTGTCTGTGTCTGTGTGTGTGTGTGTGTAGGAATACTTGGTTTTATTAGAGAGGTGTCCTCGTTTCAGAGGTGTCCTTGGAGAGGTGTCCTCATTTCAGAGGTGTCCTTAGAGAGGTGTCCTCATTTCAGAGGTGTCCTTAGAGAGGTGTCCTCATTTCAGGGGTGTCCTTAGAGAGGTGTCCTCATTTCAGGGGTGTCCTTAGAGAGGTGTCCTCGTTTCAGGGGTGTCCTTGGAGAGGTGTCCTCATTTCAGAGGTGTCCTTAGAGAGGTGTCCTCGTTTCAGGGGTGTCCTTGGAGAGGTGTCCTCGTTTCAGGGGTGTCCTTAGAGAGGTGTCCTCATTTCAGGTGTGTCCTTAGAGAGGTGTCCTCATTTCAGGGGTGTCCTTAGAGAGGTGTCCCTCATTTCAGGGGTGTCCTTAGAGAGGTGTCCTCATTTCAGGGGTGTCCTTGGAGAGGTGTCCTCATTTCAGGAGTGTTCTTAGAGAGGTGTCCTCGTTTTAGGGGTGTCCTTAGAGAGGTGTCCTCGGTTCAGGGGTGTCCTTATTAGAGAGGTGTCCTCATTTCAGGGGTGTCCTTGGAGAGGTGTCCTCGTTTCACAGGGGTGTCCTTGGAGAGGTGTCCTCATTTCAGGGGTGTCCTTATTAGAGAGGTGTCCTCGTTTCAGGGGTGTCCCTTAGAGAGTGTCCTCATTTCAGGTGTGTCCTTAGAGAGGTGTCCTCATTTCAGGGGTGTCCTTAGAGAGGTGTCCTCATTTCAGGGGTGTCCTTAGAGAGGTGTCCTCATTTCAGGGGTGTCCTTGGAGAGGTGTCCTCATTTCAGGAGTGTTCTTAGAGAGGTGTCCTCGTTTTAGGGGTGTCCTTAGAGAGGTGTCCTCGGTTCAGGGGTGTCCTTATTAGAGAGGTGTCCTCATTTCAGGGGTGTCCTTGGAGAGGTGTCCTCGTTTCAGGGGTGTCCTTGGAGAGGTGTCCTCATTTCAGGGGTGTCCTTATTAGAGAGGTGTCCTCGTTTCAGGGGTGTCCTTAGAGAGGTGTCCTCATTTCAGGTGTGTCCTTAGAGAGGTGTCCTCATTTCAGGGGTGTCCTTAGAGAGGTGTCCTCATTTCAGGGGTGTCCTTAGAGAGGTGTCCTCATTTCAGGGGTGTCCTTGGAGAGGTGTCCTCATTTCAGGAGTGTTCTTAGAGAGGTGTCCTCGTTTTAGGGGTGTCCTTAGAGAGGTGTCCTCGGTTCAGGGGTGTCCTTATTAGAGAGGTGTCCTCATTTCAGGGGTGTCCTTGGAGAGGTGTCCTCGTTTCAGGGGTGTCCTTGGAGAGGTGTCCTCATTTCAGGGGTGTCCTTATTAGAGAGGTGTCCTCGTTTCAGGGGTGTCCTTAGAGAGGTGTCCTCATTTCAGGGGTGTCCTTAGAGAGGTGTCCTCAAACAGGTTCCAATGTTTCATTCCCCCATTCTTCAGGGTCGCTGTGTCGGCATCGTTGTCGGCTGCTTCCTCGGAATGTGCCCGTTGCTATGGATACACACCCACGAACGTGACCACGCCCCTCAGTCATCATCATCCAATCAAGATCAATAGCACCAACAATCATAGACAAATCATCTTTTCTATATGCACAATGTATATATGAAAAAATAGTTTTATTATTCAAAAAACTACAGTGGTGTGGGTGTGGTTTTTGGTGGGTGTGGCTATCTGTGTTCAGAGGTCAAGTTCTGCTGGAGTCGAAGGTTGTTGTGTACTGCCTCGAATGCCTGGCCCAGCGTCAGACAGATGTCCTTGGCTTGAGACTAGTCAGTTGAAAGAGATGTGGCAGTATTATAAGAGCTAAATAAAATGTCACAAACGGAAACCTAATGCAAATGACATCATGGATAATTACCTCATCATTAGCCTCGTAGATGTGCAGCTCCTGTTGCTGTTGTCGATCTGATGCTGTCGTCGTGGCAACCTTGACGGCAAGCATGTGTTTCCCGTACGTGTCCTCGTAGTAGGTAATGTTGATGATGTAATGGAGGGCGTGGCGGGCAAAGATTCGTTGCCTTCGAGTGTCCATCACTTTTATCCCATATTTGGAGATGGAGAGGAGTCGTTGGTCCGATTCGGATGTAACCCATGGCAACAGTCCCTGCCTCTGATACATTAGAGACGTTAATTTACAGTTATCACTAAAACAATATCAGATGGAATAATTGTGTTCTCATTTGTGTAATTCGCATTATTTCTTTTACTATAATTAATCTATTGCCTAGTTTGAGCAATAAATCCCAAATCAGGTCCAAAAGCCTTTTATTGAGTCTTTTAAACATTCTTCTAGACATGCCTGCTATAAACAATGGGTGTAGATAAGTGAAGGAGACGAGTTGAGCTAATGTTCTGCCCGCCCTCTTTCCCTCTACCTGGGCCTTGTCAACCATTGCCAGTGTGGCGGTCTGGAGATCAGTGGTCTGGGAGCTAGGGAGGTGGAGAGATGTGGCCTAGTGTCTTCACGGTGTAGACCGTTGACCGCGAGTACTTGAATAGATCTGGCATCTCTTCTGTGGCGGGCGATGAAGTGAGAGAGAGAGGGGGAGGGAGGGGAGGAAGGAAAAGGTGAGGCAAAAGTTGACGTAAGCATTACTACAGAGCAGGGAAATGGAGAAACGAAGGGAATGGAGTTGGAGGACAGATTGTGAAGAATGGGAGAGGTGTGTAATGGTGCTTCACGCATGTTCGATAGGATTTGAAGTGTACTGCTGTCTTAAGAAGCTGGACACCTAAGCAGCTATGGACAGATTAATGCTGTCTTTGTTCACAGTTCTGCTGAAATACCACGTCGTCCAATGTGTGTGGTTGTTCTATTGTGAAACTCTTCCTCCTCCGCTCACCAGATGAGTCCCTAGGTCGGCTCATCTGTCTCTCCTCTCTCTTCCTCACCACCTCCGAATAGTCCAATTCCTCCTCCTCGTCCCACCCCTTCGGAGTCTGTGATGATGTCATCATTACATCACTACACTCATTAAAAAGACTAAAGTCTTTATATACAACATTGTGCTGCAGTACATGGTCTCTTGTGTAATACTGTAAGTGGTGCTGCACATTGGTGACCATTTCTATGTAAGTTGCTTGCACTGAATGTGGTACACGGCCATAGCTACCACAATACGTATTTTCAACGATATTGGTGATCAATGTCAGACAGGATATCTGGCTAGCTGGCTCACCCTCTGCTCCTCCTTCTCCCAGAACTCTGCCATCTGTTTCTGTTCCTGGTCAGTCGGTGAGTGTCCGTCTCTCGACGCTGGAGGTAGGACGAACGGGTAGCTTCCAGACTCGTCCATGACCGGCTAGCCAGAGAGAAGAGAGAGAGAGAGACATGTAGCTAGGTTGAACATGTAGCTAGATTGCTGTGGTTACCTGGTCCGGTAACCAAACTTGTGGCATAGCTTCAGCGAGCGTAGCCGTCTTTTTCTGAGGTCGGGGACCCGGGGCTTCTTTTTCACGGCCTTTCTTGGGCATCTTCGCCCTCCCTGCTTGCTCGCTGTCAACACTTTCCAAAAGCAGCCCCACCCTCTTTTTGGATACCCGTAGGTTACTGACACCTGTTTCCGTCAACTCTCCGTAATCTATGCTTGGTGGCGGGTGGCGGGTCAGCTGCAAAAGTCAAGACGAGGCGTGCAGCAGCCATGGAAGACGATTTCGAAGTCACACATGAGGTAGGCCCGTAGCTAAACGGTTCTCTCTCCTGAAAATTTAGCTCTTGCTCGCTGCACTTTCCGGAGGGGCGGCCTTACAAATGCAGCTGTGCTGAGTTGGTGCGCAATAAATAGATCCACTTTCCGCTTGCGCGTATAATAAATCGCCCCACTGCAGCATTATGATCTGATCACGGAAATTTACAACAAAACTTGCTTGCTTGCTTGCTTGCTTGATGAGATTGTTCTATTCAATTGTATGTATTAATCTTGTTGCTACACAGGAGTTGGAAAAGTTCCGTAATGCAATGAAGAAGAAGGAGTTTCGGGATCTGTTGGTTGACTACGCGAAAGAGATACAGGACCCGGAGAACAAGAAGGTGAGGCTGTCCTTGGAGAGGAGTTTATTTGTGTTGTGGATTACATTATTGATGTACATATTGTTAGTTGTTGTCTCTTCCCCTCTCCTTGTCTCTTTTGCCCACCTATTGTGCTTGTGGTAGCCACTGCCAATTAGCAGTTAGTTTTTCAGACCTTTTTAAACTCTCTCCTCCTCCTCTTCCCCTCTCCTCCTCCTCCTCTCCTCCTCCTCTCCTCTCCTCTCTCAGATATATGAAGAACAAATGACTGAAATGGAGAAGACGAGAGGAGAAGATGTCAAATTCCTCAACCCCAAAGTAAGTCACACTTTAAAAAAAAGTTTCATTTTAACCGTTAGAGTTCAAAGGTTAATAAATGTGCCTGCACTAGTGTCGAATAGGTGCTGAAATGAATACCTTACCTTTGCTCTGAACATGCAAAGAGATATTTGTTACTTTCATGTCTCAACAACTTGGTATAGCGAGGTAGAAAGGCAGGCAAGGCAAACAAGTCAGCTACACCCAGGACATCTCTTTCTTTTCGAAGAAAGAAGAAGAGCTGCCCTGGGTGGGATTCGAACCCACGACACTCTGAAATCTAGGCGAGTGCTCTACCAACTGAGCTACCAGTACTAGCTCAACTTGGTAACGAGGTAGAAAGGCAAGGCAAGGCAAACAAGTCAGCTACACCCAGGACACCTCTTTCTTTTCAAACTACACTTACTACTTACATGTGCGTTAATAACTCCTTTCTTACTAATTTTCCTACGTACGCATCTCTCCTTCCGTTTCTTCAGCCCGGGTTTGTCATAAAGATCTACCTAGAGCCAGGCCGCCGTAAGATGTTTGTCAACATCGCCACTAGCGACTGTCGTCCCCGAGGCAACCAGTGACCCCGCCCACAAGGTGGTGGGCTCTAAAAAGAAGACGGGATCTGACTGGCATGTTCCATACACCCTCGCATCGCCCAGAGATGACCTGGACAAGTGTTAGCATTACTCCCTTGTGCAATACTTGCTGAGTGTGGAACTCCTCTCTAAGGACACCCCTGAAATGAGGACACCTCTCTAATAAGGACACCCCTGAAATGACAACACCTCTCCAATAAGGTCACCCCTGAAATGAGGACACCTCTCTAATAAGGACACCTCTTCTTTCCCCAAGAACAGTTCTTGCATGCAATTTAATAAGGACATCTCATAATGCGTGCAATTTCATTGGTGTCGGCATTAGCCACTGCATGTTTCTCTCTTTTTTTAACCCCATCTTTCCCCTCCCCCACCCTCCAGCTGGCAAGAGGTGTAAAGTGTACGACTGTGTATTTCACCCAAAGACCTACAAGAGAGGACAGAAGGTAGCCACACCCACTGCCATCGATCACCATAGCAACAATAACAAACAACATCATCGTTGTGGATGTAAATATTACCATAATCACTATAATTATACAATAGTACTATAGCACATAGGGATGAGCTTGGTAGTATCATGTGACAGTCACATGACTCTCTGCAGTACCCGAGGTTCAAGCAGTTGCTGGTGGACACAGCAGTTGATGCAGTGGAGAAGATGGAGGGTGCAAGGCCGTGTCTGAGAAGGTCAAAGTTCTGAATCTCTCGTACAAGGGAATGGTGCAGCCTGCCGTGGTGAGGCAGAGAGGGAGAGGAGACAAGGTTTGCACTTTTTCGTTACTTTACCCGCCTGCTATTTAGGATTCTCCAACCACGTGTGGGGCTTGTCACGAATATTCTATTCTACGGCGCATCCTATGTTTTGTGGGCTCTGCGGTTGATCCCTTATTCTGTGTTTTATGTGGCGTTTTACAATGGAGACTACGATCTGCGGCACATCTTGCGACGCATCCCCTTTCTGCGGTGCTTAACTATAGATCCTTGGTGTATATATATATTATTTATCTATAATTATATATATATAGTGCTTGGTATATGCCGTGTTAAAACTCTCTCTCTGCACAGGGGGAAGGGAGGAGAGAGGGAGAAACAGATCCGCCATTTGGAGTCCTCTACCCTCCCCTACCAACAGAGTCCAGGTCAGTAGTACTGATAATATGTACATACTGTAATACTGCATACGAGTACATTACCTGAAACTATAGCAAGGTAGGTAGTAAACAGAGAGTCATGTGACTATCACATGATACCATAAAAAGGTAAGCTCTCACCAGAACACGAGTACATTACCTGAAACTATAGCAAGGTAGGTATAAACAGAGAGTCATGTGACTATCACATGATACCATAAAAAGGTAAGCTCTCACCAGAACACGAGTACATTACCTGAAACTATTGCAAGGTTTAAACAAGGCACATTAATGTAATAATATACTGATTACTTGGTGGTTGTCATGGTGATGTTGGTGTGTTGGTCCCTCCCCTCTCTTCTCCTCAGCTCAAAGGAACAGTCGAAACCAGAACTGACCTCTCCTCCCTCCACCTCCGCTCCTGAACCGGTCTACACTGTCAAGTACAGAGGAGAGGTTGCCATGGAAGATTTCACAAACGACAGGGTTTCCCCCGTCGTCAAGAGACCTAAAGAGATCGTGGTTACCGTCCAACTACCTGGACTGGTTAGCTCTCTGATGTAGTACAGTATATACTCTGATAATAGATTTGGGGACCTACATAATTAGACACCACCCCATATTATCGCACTGTTACTGTCTCCATCTCCCCAGACCTCAGTAGGGAGTGTGGAGTTGGACGTTACCGAGAAACAGTTGCTACTCGACAACAAACACCCTCCATACCATCTCGACGTATGTAATGACGTAATGTTATGAGAGCTAATTGAAAAACTCTGTAATTTCTTTCTCTGACATGATGCTGGTTTAATTAACCCTTTCTCTACTACAGCTAGTTCTTTTAACCCTTTCTCTACCACAGCTAATCTTTACTCATGCACAGCTGGTTCATTTAACCCTTTCTCTCCCACAGCTAATCTTTACTCGTGCACAGCTGGTTCATTAACCCTTTCTCTACCACAGCTAATCTTTACTCGTGCACAGCTGGTTCATTAACCCTTTCTCTACCACAGCTAATCTTTACTCATGCACAGCTGGCTCATTTAACCCTTTCTCTACGACTGCTGGTTCATTTAACCCTTTCTCTCCCACAGCTGGCTCTTTTAACCCTTTCTCTACCACAGCTAATCTTTACTCGTGCACAGCTGGTTCATTTAACCCTTTTTCTCCCACAGCTGGCTCTTTCCTATCCAGTCGATGGGAACAGTGGAAAGGCAGAATTTGACAAGAGAAAATGTCTGATTGTCACACTTCCCGTCCTCCCCTCCCCACCTCCACACACCATCACCAAGTCACATGACCTACCGAATCATGAATCGTCCAATCAGGTTGCAGAACTAGGGTCACGTGATACCGAGACTCAAGAATCAACCAATGAGGTTGCAGAACCAGAGTCACATGATTTAGAGAGTCAGGTGACTGACAACGAGAGCCATACATCAGCCAATGAGGTTGCAGAACTGGAGTCACGTGACCTAGAGAGTGGAGAACTGACCAATCAGATTGCAGTGTCGGAACACCTGACTCAACCTGAAACTGTGACGACATCATCTGCTGATTCGACCAATCATAGCGTGGAACCAAGTCATGTGACCTGGACATCGAAGGGAAAGTGGGTTGCCCCTTCGTTTACCTATCGTCAGGACGACGAGAGAGTTGCCTTTGTTCTCCATTCACCTGGTACCAAACCATCCACCTTGGTCCATCACCATGACACCACCAAGTAATCAGTAATAAAATTATATGGTTACATTTATAGTTTATACGCAACCGGACACTTGGCGGGGAAACGGGGGCCGACTATCTCTTTTGAACCGTTTGCAGGATCTCCTTCCCTCTCAATCAACCTCCTTCCCTCTATGGCAATCAAGTTAGGCTTTAATCATGTCTGTGTCACGTACCGTCACTTACAGAGCAGAGCTGGGTCATGTGTTTGTAAGAGACGGTTTTTAGTCCTTCACTGTTTGCTGTTAGGTGGGTGGGCTTTTGTTGAAAAAGCAAACTCTGTGCAACTGAAGTGTGTTGGGGCCTGTTTTTAGGCAAACAGACCCCTAGGATCTCGAACCTTACCTTACCAACCACTCCCCATTTGCATAGTTTCATCATGGTAATGTACGTCGGTTCTGGGTGAGAAGGACGTGGGAGAAACAGACTGGCAATTATCCCCTCCTGGTTTCTTTCCATGGCGACGACCTCCGTGATAGCAAGCGTTCCGTAGGAACGCTCCGAAGAAAACGTGGATCGTCGTGTAACAAACAAAGCTGCCGCAAGCCAAGTGATTGGGCGTGGTTTGAGGCTGGTTCAACACATCCCAATATACTTACTCAGGTATACTTTATTATACACTAATCTATGTTGTGTGTTTTCCAAGGGAACAGTTTTCACTTTTCACCAAAGGTCCATCAAATCTGTATAATGTAAGGAAGTTTGAATCACAGAGGCCCTTGTAGAAATTGCTTCAACGTATATATAAGCAAAAATATATCCTTAAATTCAGGTCCTGAATGTGTTTAAAAAATACAGGATTATGTGCGAGAAGGCTTGCTGGAGAATGTTTTCGAGCCCGTACTCTATAAGCCTTGTTTGTTGTTTACTGTGTCCCATATTCGAGGAAGATGTTTTCTGACGGCGGAAACGTTGTAGACGATGGAGAGGAGGAAAATGAGACAAGACTGCGACCCTTGGAGTGAGAGCAAACACACAATACACGTGTGACACCTTACACAACAGTGTGTGTCCCCACTATTGTGTGTGCACATTCCACCTTGGCTCTTGCTTGTCCAAGTGTTGTAAAATTTAGAGGAGAAAATCTTTTTTTTTTGCCTTTTTTTTACAGCTCATCTCAATCAATTTTTTGTGTGACAGGGCACCCTTCCAAACTAAGTTTTTATCTCCCTGCCACTGACAAAGGAAACTAATTTTATTGTTTTTTCTTTCGATTACTAACATACTCGGTTTTGTAGGTAGTATGAATGTTGTTGCTCATGAAAAAAAACCCTAGAACTCTACTGCTTGTAATCCGGGAACAGTGGGGTCGGACGAGTCGCGGAGGTGGGGGGGACGTGAGGAGCGAGGAGCGTCGCTCAATAAGGCTAAGTGGAAGGACAACATACAACAATGCCCAAAGGCATTCTCACGTCAATTAGGGTAGCGAGGGACACTCCGCGTAGCGGCGCGGATAAGGAGGCGATAATAGGAGCTACTACGGGAGGACAGGGCTGCGAAGCAAAGACGAGGAGAGGAAGGGCATGGCGCAGCAACAGGCACAGACTGAACCACGACCACAGAGAGCGAAACAAAGGAAAGATCAAGGTGCTGAAAGGATCGGGTCCTATTTACAAGTTCCAGGAACGTCGCGGACAAAACAATTACCCACGTAGCGACTTCATGCTGCCATGATGCTACAGAGTGTGGTGGAACGGACACGGAAAAAGATAATCGAAAGAGGCGGGCGAAAGAGGAGAAACCGACGAGGGGAGTGATAGGGACCGAGGAGGTGAGGAGAAGCGCGAAAGTGCGTCAAGATTAAAATAAAAGAAACGGAGGGAGAACACTCCACGAGACACTCAGGCAGGAGATCGGGCACCGGGAAACACCAGAGATCGAAGAGGGATCAAAGATAATGCTCACTTCGGGAGGGAATGAGGACACCGAAAGACATCCCGAAGAAATAATCTCAATAAAGGACCGCGTGGGAGGCGGTGAGCGGAAAGAGAGTGGCCAGCCCACTTCACGTAAAAGGGGAGAGGGGTCGGCGCCGTTTATGTCGCGCGCACGCGTTGGACACTGGAGGACGACCAGCGATTTATGAGGCACGAGCGGAAGATAGAATTCAAAGGCAACAAACGAACCAGAGTGGGTAGTATAAAGGGATGGGATAGGGAATGAAGATCCAGAGAAGAGGCGGTACAGACAGGCACAGACAATCTAACTTATTGGTAGACGTCGAGAAAGTGCCCCCCCCGCAAGGCGCGGCAGGAGCAGTGTCAATGTCGATGGGGACGATAGGTCACACGCAGAGGGGTGGGGTAAGGGCCGGGACAGAAGCCGGCCGAAAACCGGTGGTATAAGCCTGGGGCCCAAAACACCCTTTATTGTCTCGCTGGCAGAGGTCCTGGTTCAGAGTTCTCAGAAGTTCAAAGTCTCCTCGTCCTCAACAAAATAGTTGGTGCTGGAACATGAAGAAGACGGGTCAAAGTTCAGACGTGGTGCTGAGGAACAATGGAGCCACGTGGAATCGGAAACAGAGAAGGACTGAAGATAAGGCAAGAGGAGTCGCCAGACTACTGGGAGTGAATAATATGGCGACTGTGTTGCGAAACTGAGATCAAACGGGACTGAGACTCATGATGATATTCATCTCAAATCATCTCACCAACACTTACTCTTTAATCTCTATTGATTACGATCACACTTACACCCCATATAGTATAGACCATCTGCAGTTGCTGGGAAGTTTTATAGATAGTGCAGTAGTTCCTCCGCACCCACTCGGGCAGAGGCGAGAGCAGTGGTCACCACACATTTTGTTTGTATGTTAATTAATTCTCAGTGCAGTAACAACATCCTCTGCCATACATGATGCAATTTTCACGGTTCCTCAGCCGCCATCTTGTGTGTGCGGTGTGTGTGTGCGTTACTACATCTGTGTTCGTTGCACAAACTTCCCACAGCTTATCAATCACCTACACACTATCGAGTTTGTGATAGTTACTACTACTATACTTTTCCATTCTATAACACAATGATAAGTATATTTAGGATCTGCACACACAGGTCAAAGGCACTGTCCCAATAGATATTATCTCTTTCTATGAATACGACAATAGGACTTTTGCCACGTTGTTTGAGGTATACGATACTCGGTATTGAAAGGCGGTCAATCGACTCGCACTGTTTGCTCTTATCCCACACACAGACCTCACTGTTGACTTGTGGCTGGCCATCTGAGTCGCCCCAATGTTCTGGTATGAGTCCTCCTTCCTCTCCTCCGGAGCAGCTCGGGCCATTTTCCGGTCTCATCCATCTCTTCCCCTAGAGAGATCCGCATAGGACGTGGTGGGGAATGGTGGGCATAAGGCATGTGATAGTTGCCCACGCATGCTGGAGAAATAACGCCTTTCTGGAATAAACCTGCCGGACTTGGCAACTTGCTCATCGGTGGGCTGCTGCTACCCTCTTTCGTGATAATCTCATATCATCCGCCCCAACGACAAGCAATCGATGAAGAAACATCTTTGGGACATGTTTGGAATGAACGGCCCTCGGGCCCTGGTGAGAGGGGAAAACAATCTCGTCTTAAACTGTAGAGTTTTGCCATCGTTGGTGTAAGATGCTCAATTTTCCTTTTTGTTGCTGGGGCAACCATACAACCGTGGCCGGAGAAGGCAAAAAATGAGTTAACCTTTTCCTCTTCCACCCTCCTTCCTTGTCCTGTGTATGTCGCCAGTTTCCGTTTGGAAACCATCCTTCACTAGTGCTTTCCATCACGTCCGTCTTTTGTTGGATTGCGAAGTTTGACGGTTGTGGTAATTGAAACGGTTGAAGGTTTTCACAACATATCATCACTCTTCTGGCATCCTCTCTTGTTCCTAGCAGGGTTGTTAGAGGCAAAAAAAAAAAAACCAAATATCTCTCGATAGTCACAGGTGTAACGAGGTGGCCAGTCCTTGACTGGTTCAGTCAGGGCAGTGCCTGAATAGAATAATAAGTGGACACTTAGGAAAACTCCACTGATTAATTACTGTTCTCCCCTTAACCAGGAAAAAGTTTTTAAGTGCATCATGAAGAAGTGAACTGTAATTATATGGCTTTACTACTTTGTTCAGTCACTGGCAAACACCTATGGCAAACCTAAAACCAACCCATTTTTCAGTCTGCGTCACTGTACAACACACATGATCACTGTCCCTGTATGGAAAATACTACCCGACTTCATCCTAGTCTGTTTAGCCCACAGAGATTGGCTACAGTCTGCTACCAGCAGGTCCTTCAGGTTGGGAGGCACTCACTCCCCATCACGGCTGTGTTGGAAGACGGATACACCCTCCAGGGGGGATTCATGGGAATAGGAGAGCATATATGTGACACACAGAATGACATGGGCATATACCTTCAGTTGCAACTGAAAGAGCTCCTCAGTGGAACCCGTTTCAGTTTGTCACACGGAACCAGAATGCAATACCTGGACATATCTGTCAAAGGACATTATGAACGCATTAATAATGTAGCTAGGTCCTCGCCCTGACAACTTCTGGCAACATCTGAAGAAAATACCTATCCAATAACAAGGCTTGTTAGTCGCCCCCCGGGTAATACTACGGAATTGCGCACGCGCATGCGGCATAATTTTCGCTTCGCCTTGCCGGCCGGCCGGCCCATGGCGCGGCGCGGGCCAGCCAATGCGGCGCGCGCGTACTAAAACAACACACGTATAAGTATACATACACTCACTAGGGCCGATCGTGCAGCGCGCTCTCACTGACAATATGGCCAGATTCTCTCCTATCCTAAATCCTATAACATACTGACGGCCAGTACTTCCTATCCCTTATCTAAACGCAATGACACCGGAAGTTAACACTTCCTGGCTGGTGATAATGTAAACATTTCCCCAAAGCGTGACTAATTATTGCCGACATAAGCGTACGTACTTAATCGCGAGAAATACAACCCGGAGATAGTTGCCAATCACGCCCCTCGGCGCAAC